TCATAGCGAATCAAAACAAACATTGTGTAGTACTAGAATTTCGACTAGAATGGGGTACGTTAATCGTTTGCTTGGGACCAATAGGCTAGTCAAGTAGTGAGCCAATTTAAAATCGTTAGTTTCGTATTGATTGTTGCTTATAGAGCTTCCATCCCGGGATGTCCCGGAATTTTGACATTTCTCGGAATTCCTGAATCCCAGGAAATAAATTTATAAATCCTGTGAGTTTATGAAATTTCATAGAAGTTTTGGAAACTTTGTATAACTTCACGAAACATTGCAGAAAATCATCGAAAACCCTAAAAGTATAAGAAACTTTATAATAGTGTAGTGAACTTTGTAGAAGTTCATTGCAGGGAATTTTGTAAAAGATCAGGAAACTTCCAAAAATTTCGGCAAACTTTGCAGAAGTTCGGCAAAATTTGTATAACTTCAGGAAATTTTGTAGAAGCTCAAGAAATTTCGTATCAGTTTAGGAAACTGTGTAACTTTGGGAGCTTTGTTTCATCAATATGTTCAGGAAAACTCCTAGAAAAGGTTAAGGTTCTTTCCGGAGGTCAGGAGAAGTTGATGGATGTTATGAGATTGAAAAAACAATTATGAATCTTAATAAGTTCAGGGAACTTTTTTTTAGAAGTTCATGAAAGTTTGTAGATGATTATGGAACATTGCATGAACTGTTTTAAATTCGTACTTTTTTAAGTTCAGCAAGTTGGGCAGTTGTAGCTATGGAAAAATTAAAAGTTGTAAGCTATGGCAAAATCTTTAAAGTACTGGGAACTTCGTAGAAGATTACGGAAAATCCCAAGAGTTCGTCGAACATTCCACATTTTCGGGAAACATCATAGAGACTTTGAGTGCATGGAACTGAGTTTAAGTTCAAGAAACTTCTTGAAAGTACAGGAATCTTCGTATAAGTTCAAGAAGCGTCTTGAAATGTTAAATAACTTTGTTGATATTCACGGATTTTTCGATGAGATATCAATAAAGTTCTCTGGATATTATTCAAGGTAATTTTTATACGATAGATGAGGAGATGAAAGTATAAAGTTGATAGTTCCGTTAGAGTACGGCAGTGTGAAAATTGTAATTAGAGAGTAGAAAGCGAGCAAGGACAACTTTAGGAAGGTACAATCCGGTTTGATCATCTCTCTTTACCAAACTCCCCCGTTGGAGAGGGATGCTGAGGGGTATTCCCTCCCGCCACCACTGGCAAAAAGAGATTATCGCCGACTCGCTCATGTTCCGACGATGTGTTTGAAACAGTTCTATCGATTTTTACCGCACTCAAGTTGTTATCTGAAGGAAGGCATCCAGTCGTAGGTTTGGAAAGTGCTGCTATTGTTACCTCTACCACGGAATGTGCTCCTGTCTTGTGCTTTAGTCTGTTATTTGAAATTAAAACTTCAGGCTGTTATTTGAAATTAGCATCTTCAACTATGTAAATCGTTGACTTCACGCAGAAGTAATACTAAACATATAGTCAAAGTACAATTATTATTCTTAAGATATTCAACTGTCCATAAAATTCAAATGACGTCTTCAGATAGTCTCTCAAGATTTCTGGTTGATCAGATATTAGTGAATTCAGGTTTGTTCGGGAAATCTGAAGATCTTAAAATAGTCAAACATTCAATAGGCTCTCTCAAGATGGCAGATCGGCCAGGAAGACCTTCAAAGCTCTCGAGCTGATCGAAGATTTCAATAAAGTCCCCTGAATATTTTTCAAGGCTGATAAACGAAGTATTATCAACAATCAATACGAAACTAACGATTTTAAATTGGCTCACCACTTGACTAGCCTATTGGTCCCAAGCAAACGATTAACGTACCTTATTCTAGTCGAAATTCTAGTACTACGCAATGTTTGTTTTGATTCACTATGAAAGTTTGACAGATAAAATGAGGGGTTATTGGTTTTCCCTATGTTTCGAGGGGTGAATCGATTAGCTTGGGACCGAAGAGAGTACCAGAGCTGAGCCAAAAAGTTGAGCACATTATTTCGGGACCTTCTAGTCTTAGAGTTACCTCTATGGTATTATTGTGAAGATATTCTATTTGCTTGAATTCTAGTAGGCCACTTAAAACAACTCAGATAGAGAGTCACTTCTACTCAGTTGTATGAGAAATTTATCAGCGCTAATTTCCTACAGTTTTTAGAATTTTTTTCCATACCTCTGAGTAGAAGTGACTCTCTCTCTCTCTGAGTTCTTCTCAGTGGCAGTGTAAACATGGATAATTTAAAAATTGCAAAATGTTTGAAGTTCAAAATTTTTGACATTATGAAAATTTATTCAGTTACTGCTGAGGGAAACATTCTCCCTGAATACCTCCTTTTTTAAGCTTTTTGAGTTTATTGATTTATTTCCTTTTAATTGCGTTATACTTGCTTATCTTTTGACAGATACGTGTATTTCGTCTACTACTTGCAGACTTCGGGCCTCCCTTAGCTCAGTCGGTAAAGACGCAGCTGCAAAGCAAGACCATGCTTAAGGTGGCTGGGTTCGATTTCGGGATGGAAAATTTCTCAACTTGCCTGGGCATAGAGTGTGATTGTACTTGCCACACAATTGTACTAATGCAAAAATGGTACAGGCATCGAAAGCTTTCAATTAATAACTGTGGAAGTGCATCTAGAAAACTATGTTGAGAGCACGTAATAAGCTAATATGCGATAAGCAATAAGCAATGCTCAAAGCCTACTTCAACTATTCATTTCATTTAAGTCTAACAAATACTTTTCTCTAGAGCAAATATTCGAAAAATGTTAGACTAGCTCAAAATGTCAGAATAAGATTTCTGAATCAGAAAATACGTGCTATCAGTAGTTTCTTATAACTTATCGTTGATTGAATCAATATCGTAGCTTTATAAATAGTCATTGGTTTCTTATGTGACACGATATTCTACTAGATTTTAATCTAAATTAAACATTTTCTTAACAAAATATTACTTAAGTCCATTCGGGGCAACATGAGCACCACTGATATTTCAACTTAAATTCTTCAATTTTGCATTATTCCTTTCAAAAATATGACTGTATCATGTGAAATCAGGTTTTAGAATAGCTGCTTTGGTAATAAATCAGTAATTCACAAGACTGACAAAATGTAGTATTAAATAGGCAGTATTTGAAATTTAAATTCTACAGAAAATAATCGTTTTTGTTAAAAAAAATATATTAAAACTGTTCATTGGTGACCCTTCATAAACCCTCAAGAGAACATAATAGTCTTACTCGTTGTTTACAAGGTCGCTCATACCACCCCGACCGGGTCCTAATTTTACCCCAACGGTTTAATTTCGAATACAAAACGAACATTTTTTTTAAATCTTCTTGCATAAGATTCAAAATTTGACTTTTAATATTCAATTTGTCTTCATTCCTTTATTTAACGTTGGTCTCGGTTCCGCAATCTAGTGCCAATAACCGACGGGCACCGATTGCCATCTATTGACGGCAATCGAATGTGCAGGGAGGCAGCTTCCACACCTGCGTAGAATATCACACCCATTCAACACACATGGGTCGGGACCAACGGCTGTTCACTTCCCTTCCGGAGGAAGACGTGACCAGAGATTTTTATACCTCAGAAAAATCCCACCGCCCTCGGCTGGGATTGAACCCGGCGCATTGGGGTGAGAAAGCAGTAACGCTTACCACTACACCACCGGCGCCGGCAATATTCAATTTGTATTCATGATGTTATTTGGGCTTGAAACTATCCATTTGGTTTAACATCATTCGAATTTTCCACTGAATCTTGTATGATTACTGATGATTTTCTTAAGGTGGCCAAACTGTCACACTTTCCCCTTCTTATTGATTAGTATATAAGTCGTAGATAAAAGGTGGATTCTTCAGTGGTGTTGAGTACTTAGCACTGATGAAGTCTGCAAGTAGTAGACGAAATACGCGTATCTGTCAAAAGATATGCAATTATAACGGAATTAAAAGGAATTAAATCAACACACTCAAAAAGCTCTTCATGAAGGGATTTTGTTAAGAGGATTGACACAATTAAAAAATTCCTTTATGATGTTATGATAATGAATAATGTCCTCAATTTTATAAAGTATGCATATTTAGACTGCCCCTCTCACCACACTCCAACTTGAAAAGAAGCGGTGATGACATGCAAAGACATTTTTTCGATCTCGTTTAAGACATTTCCTCAAAACATATGGCACCCCTGATACAATGATGATACAATTCAGTGTTCATCTCACTTGAACTGCGAAATGAACGACCAGAATGCTGGTTGATGTCGGACTTGCCGGACTTGTCGGACATTTCTTTGATAACCACGGAATACATCTCAGAAGTGTTCAATGTTGATGGGAATTTTACGCGATTTTTATATGTTACTAGCTGAGTGTGCCCGGCCTTGCTCGGGATTCAATATTAGCTTGAGTTTATGCACCGATTCAAAAAAGTATGCTATATTTTACTGTTTCATTTGTATGGGTACTCCCTTTACAGAGGGGGAGGGGTCTCGAACCATCATAAGAACCTTTCCGGCCCCAAAAATCTCTGCATACAAATTTTAACGGCGATCGGTTCAGTAGTTTCCGTGTCTATAAGGGTCAGACAGGCAGACAGATATTCCTTTTCATATATATAGATAGATTCATCTTCCATACCAAACATGGGTTTAAACGTGATCATAATTCCTATTAATTCTCATTTCTGAAATTCAAAAACCACACCAATTGCCTCGCAGTTTCGAATGGGGTAATCACGATGAGAGGACAAAAACAAGCTTGAAGTGAGAGACTTAAAACAACCGCGTCAATGCTAGCCGGTTATCTCTGTTTATACCCACTACATACAATCGTATTCTAGTCAATCAGCCAGCCAGTAGCAGTGAGAGCGCTGCGCAGTGCGCAACCATAGCCAGTGTATTTTTTTAGTAACGAAAAACATTTGCAAGTTACTAGATAACTTTCTTTATCAGCGTGCCAAATTGTAGCAAACAAAGCTAATCAATTGATTTAGTGCCAATTTAACTGTATCAGACACAGTATCACCTCCAGCAGAATGACAAACAATAAGGAACAGTATGTTTTTTACGGAGGATCAACTGAAGAAAGTGTCGAATCTGGTTGCCGTTCGCTGGGAGAACTTATCGTCAAGCGGTTGCGCGAGAATGGCGACGATATTGCGTGTGTGAGTATTCATATTCTATGTAGGGGAAATGGCTCTAATGTTGGCCTATGGATCTAAGAATGGGACCATCGCTAAAAATCTGCTATTTATTAATTTTATGTAGATGATCGCGGCATTGGGACGGTACTAATGGATATTTTTGGTCGCTATTGAAAATTTCGCTTGCTGAATTTATGTATGGGCCTAAATTAGGGGCATTTAGGCTGACATTACATCCATTTCCCCTATATACTTTGATATCAGCCTTGCTTTGGTTTTGAGTGATAGGTATTGAACATATAATATCAATAATTCTGAATCTAGAATTAATGTTCAACTGCATAATGCATAAAAATTCGAACCCTAATGACCTCTCTCTTTTAAGTATCCACTCTACACACTTCAACTAACGAAATGCATTGCCCCTCACTCACCCTCTCATTCTTGCAGATCGATGGCCTCACCAACGAATCCATCACATACAGTGACCTACTTGAGCAATCCGTCCGATTGGCGAACCGCCTGCATCGAATCGGCATCAAGAAAAACACACTGATTGCGATCATGTGTGAAAACCGCATCGAATTGCCGTTAGTTGCCTTTGCCGCAACCTACATGAACGCAATTCCAATTCTGCTGAACCCTGCCTACACACCTACCGAGCTGGAACACGTCCTCAAACTGACTCAACCGAAAGCCATTTTTGTTTCCTCAATTGCAGTGAAAACGCTTCTCTCCGTGGCAGACTCCATCCCATCGATTAAGATGATCACGTTGATCGGTTCCAAAGAACGTCCTCATAAACGTGTCGCCTTATTCAAAGAGCTGTTCGATCGCAACAAGCTAAAAACCGCACGATCCTTTACTCCTCAACCCGTCAATTTGAAGGACCAGGTTGCCCTCATGGTTCTCTCCTCGGGAACCACCGGTCTGCCGAAAGCTGTTCAACTGACCCACTACAACATTATGGCCGTAATGGCTTACATTCGCGACGATCTAAAGCTCTCGCCAATATCTCCTTCGGCCCTAAGTCTCGCTCTGCTGCCTTACTTCCATATCTACGGTTACATGATCCTGCTCAATACCTGCTGCAATAAACGCTCAATCGTTACACTTCCAAAATTTGAGCCTAATCTGTTCCTGTCTACAATTGAAAAGTACAAAATTGCCACCGTGACGCTGGTCCCACCGTTGGTAGTCTTCCTGGCAAAGCATCCACTTGTGGAAAAGTACGATCTTAGTTCATTGATAGCGATCAGTTGTGGAGCGGCTCCTTTGAGCAAGGAAATCGAGGAAATGGTTCACAAGCGACTTCCCAATTTGATGCTGATTCGTATTGGCTATGGAATGAGTGAAACTTCGCTTGGAGTTTTGACCAGAAACATTGGGAAAGCGGGCAGCGTTGGAAAGGTTAACCGGATGTTCTGGGTCAAGGTTGTAGACCCGGAGACGGGAAAAACGCTGGGTCCAAACCAGATTGGCGAGATATGCGCCAAGGGGCCTATGATTATGAAGGGATACCTGAAGAATGACGAGGAAACACAATCGATTATCGATAAGGATGGTTGGTTGCACACCGGAGATACGGGATACTTTGATGAAGATGAGGACTTTTACATCGTAGATCGGATTAAGGATCTGATCAAGTACCGGGGCTCCCAGGTGGCACCGGCTGAGGTTGAAGCGGTTCTGCTTACAAACCCGAAAATCAAGGATGCTGCAGTAGTTGGCATTAAGGATGAGGCTAACGGAGAGCTGCCGCTGGCATTCGTGGTTGCTCAACCGGGAATGGAGTTGAGTGAGGCGGAAGTCAAGACTTGGGTGGCGGACCACTTATCTAAAAGTAAGAATTTACACGGTGGCGTGCGAATAATTGCCGAGATACCGAAGACTGCCAGTGGAAAGATTTTAAGACGCGAGCTGCGAAAAATGATAACAAAGTCCAAGCTGTAAGATGAACTGCGAGCCAGCCTTTATCTTGTGTGATTTATGAGAGTCGTACCGGGGAGATGATAAGATGCAAGGTGCAATCGAGTTTATTAGTAGATAGTAGTAGAAGAATGTTTCTGTACTGGAAATAGCAATTGCATAAAATAAAGTGTAATTATCTACACAATGAACTGCCTATATATTCGGTTAATGTGCACAGAAACGTTTTTATTAGGATTTTAGAACCTTTCTCTACTAGGCAGTCTGAAAACCTTAGTTTGATTGTTTCCGTCATTATTCTAACAACGATTTATTAATAATACCGTTGCTCTCACTCAGCAACGACAGCGGCCGTTGAATCTGACTCAAATGTGGGTTTCGTTTGCTCAAATTCGCAAAAACGCAGCACTGCACAGTGGTCCAGAATGCAGATTTAGGTGGAAGGATATGTTTTGAGCAGGGAATTGAAACTTTAGACTAAAAGTCTCTTCTACAAAGTGTTTCTTATAGTTAGGTCCTAATTTTTATGACAATAAATTCTAGGATGGTTCTTATTATCATTGAAATCAAAGTTATAGCTGAACTAAAGACTGGAACGCCCTTAAATTGGTCGACAAAACAATCGTTTCTTTCAGTCAAAATTCATATCACAAAAATCTTCCTATTTTTCTTTTGGTAGTTCAATTCATATAGGGGAATTTACGTATTCTCGGCAACCTAAGCAGCGACCTTCTTTCTATAGCCTTTTTCTCTAAGGAACGCACACATATGCAGTATTGGTTTGTTTACAATCTTTTGCTGCCAGCTGCTCTAACAATTTCAGTCGAAAGAATTGTTAAAAACTGTTTTAAAACGCTTTTACAAAGCTCCAATCTTCTCTAGTGAGAGCAAGTATTGTCGGCAACCAGTTTTTCTTGGGCAACCGTTCCATTTGAACTGCATGTAAATCTGCTGTTCTATTATCGGCAACTCGAAATCAGCTACAATTTGTATTGCGTGTGTTGCATTTCAAGAAAACCTTGCTAGATTGCTTTTTCTCAGTGGTGAAAATATAGTTAAATTGAAGCTGAAAGCATAAAGAATCGTTGGCATGCATTCAGCGAAGTGTTTTCGTACGAAAATCCAGTGAAAATAGTGTTTCAATTTGGGTTACCGAAAATAGTCTGTCATGCCGAAGCCGTCATTTCCCCTATTTAAACGAAAAAAATGTTCGTTTATTATTTTGGTTTGCCAAATTCGAACTGCCGTGCGTTCCGCTTAACCTCTTCCATTAAATTTTGCACAGTGGTCTCATCGACCTTATTCGCCGCTGAACGCCAGTTAGATTTCCATGGATTGATTAGCTTTTTGGAGATTCCGTTTGACCAAGTCCAATACCGTTCGATTGGGCGGAGCTCTGGGCTGTTGGGAAGATTGTGGTCTTTGGGTATCACAACCACGTTGTTCGCATCGTTCCACTCGTTTGCCTTTTTTCCCATAGTTGCAGCTCGCCAAGTCCGTCCAGAACAGCACAGGTCTATTATGTTGCTTAAGGAATGGTAGCAGCCGGCACTCCTGGACGTAGATCTCTTGACTGATGGTTCCCGTAGTAACGAAAATACCGCTTTTTAGACCACACGTGAGCTGCCAGCCTAGATATTTTTTCGGGAACTTCGATAGTTTGATGGTTTTGAAAATTTCAGCCACCTTCCCGGAAGCTGCTTGAAATCCACTTTCACATAAGTTTCGTCGTCCATGGCGACACAGTCGAACTTTGTGAGCAGATTCGTATACAGCTTTCGGGACCGCTGCTTTGCCGACGTGTTTTGTTTGTAATCACGGTTCACCACCTTCACCTTCTTAAACGTCGACAACCCGGCTCGTTTCTTGGCCCGCTGCACAGTAGTATGGGAGACATTGAGCTTGCTAGCGACGTTCCGGATGAAGAGGTTAGGATTCTGCTTATATTTCACCGCCACCTGCTTCGTCGTCGCTGTCACGTCCGGATTACGATTGCTGCCAATTCAAGGCTCCCTGCTGGTCGACAGACGGTACCCAAACACTTTTAAAACGTTTGTCACGGTCGATTTGGCCACATCCAGCAATTTTGCCAACTTGGCGTGTGAGAACGTCGGATTCTCTTGCTGCGAGAGCAAAATTTTGACACACTGCTCCTCTTGCTTGGACGTTATTTTGAAAACTGGAGAGCAAACGGTGAAAACTCATCATAGCAACCATTGTAGATACACTCAACTTTCAAATGCAGCATTTATGGTTTTTTATGCATTTTTAACAGAAATACATCAATTTGAAATTGACCAATTTTTGCGCGTTCCAGACTTTAATTTCAAGCAACTCTTTTTATCTCTTAAATTGAACTTTTTAGAGCTATTTTTAATAACGTACGTTCTTTCATATGCCAATAAAAAATTTTTGTTTGCCCCAACCAGAGATATTAACATTTGAAAAGGCATATTTTTAAAAGAAAATCTGCAAAAGATATCGGCATGCTCTGTGTAGAAAAAATTTGCGCATAATAAGGAACAACTTCGTAGACGGAACGCTCAATCGCGTTAGCTTTACGGAGCCAATAATTCATTGTTCATTGTTTTTTTTTTACAAAATTCATTTATATCTAAGTCTAGTAGGAATTGGGCCCGAATACTCGAGGTTAGAGGGATACATTGTTGAATTATAGGATCAAGGGAGGAGCTTGGAGGTGAGGTTTCGTTGTCTCATCAGAGCGTTGTCGCCAGTATGAACGGTAGTGCGGCTCTAGATTCGTGTGGAGTTCGACCGGGTATAGAAGATTTTTTTTTGTTTTTAGTCTTTATCTTTTAAATTTTTAGCCGTAGGCTAGTTCATCTCGTACTTGGGTATAGAAGATACTTTTAGTCTAAAGTTTCAATTGCAGGCTCAAAACATATCCTTCCACCTAAATCTGCATTCTGGACCACTGTGCACCTGGTTCAATCCCAGTTGGCAGTAAAATGTTACTCGATTCTCCTCAAAAACCTGCTTGATTATTAGAAAAATCGAAGAAAATATAATTCAGTCTACGAGAACAGACGTTGAATCTCAAACAAAATGTCTATACATGCATGTGTAAATATTCACATTGCACTAAAGCACCGCCCACGCCGAGTGCCCAACATACAAACCCTTTTTGACAACTTGATGGCACTGGCGTTGCTCAAATCACACGTGCCTCCAGTGCACAGTGGGCCAGGAATTAAATCTAGCTGGGAAAATTTAATAACCCTCTGGTATTACATCCAATTAAGTTTTTCAATTGACGTCTTGAATCAGTAAGTACTATAATTTGGTGGATTAAAATAGTTCAAGTTTTTGCCGCATAGATGGTGCAGCAATGCAAACTTTGTTATTTCGCTCGCTAGAAGTTTACTGTTTTAGGCAAAGATGTTGAACGTAAAATTTTATAAAAAGTTGCTCAAGACATAAAAGCTGTTTATCTTCAAACAACAGAGAGTGGAATTTGGAATGGATTTTTTTTTTAGAGCAAATCAAAATATGCCAGCACCACGTAATGGCCATGTAACCAGATGTTTTTATAAAAGTTTACATAAGATTTTTTATTGAAGTTGGACGTCATTCTCTGTAGAAAAATTAAACTAATTTTCCAATTCTAGGAATAAGAAAATGTTTCTTCCAGAGTCATAAGCGTTTCACACAGTACGATATCTGGAAATTAATGCGAGTCCAGGAAAATCTTAGCTAGGTTTACTAAATCTCAATCTTGGCTGTTGTAGTAAGTCAGAGAAAATTTCCATATGGAGTATTTGAATAGCAACTCTTTGTTGATACCAGAACAATCGGGATATCGGGAAGGTCATTCTTGTGAAACTGCATTGAATTTGGTGTTAGCAAAGTGGAAAGACAACTTGGAGCGTAAAGATACGATTGCTGCTGTTTTTTTTGGATCTGAAACGCGCTTTTGAAACAATTTCTAGGGCCTTACTGTTAAGTACAATCAAGCGCTTTGGAATTACGAGTACTGCATATAAATGGTTTGAAAGCTATTTGCCTGACAGAACTCAACGGACTGTTTTTAATGATTCTGTTTCCAATCCCGTGGGGAATAACCTTGGAGTGCCCCAGGGAAGTGTATTAGGGCCCCTTTTATTTATTATGTATATTAATGACTTGCGACGTGTTTTACGGTTTTGCGACATTAACCTTTTTGCAGATGATACTGTGTTATTCATTGAAGCTAAAGATTTAGAAGTTGCCGTCTCACACTTGAATGAAGATTTGCAGTATCTAAGTAGATGGTTGAAGTGTAAGCAGTTAAAATTGAATACAAGTAAAACTAAATTTATGATAATTTCGCGGAATCGATTAAATGAGAACGTCTCTGTTGTAATTGATGATGAGACTATTGATCGCGTTCAGGAGATTAAATATCTTGGCGTGATTATTGATGACAAACTTAAGTTCAACTCTCACATTGACAATGTCATCAAGAAAATTGCCAAGAAGTATGGAATTCTATGTCGATTGAAAAACGATTTAACTATTGCGAGTAAAATACAGCTATACAAATCAATCATCTCTCCTCATCTAGACTTTTGCCCATCCATTTTATTTCTGTCCAATGCAACACAAATATCGAGATTACAGCGCTTGCAGAATAAAATAATGCGTTTGATTTTGAGATGTAATAGATTCACTTCCTCAACTTTGATGCTAAACGCCTTACAATGGTTGTCGGTGAAGCAAAGAATTGTATATTTGACTATGGTGTTCATTTTTAAAGTAGTTAACGGTTTGCTACCTCGATATTTGTGTGATCGAATTGAAAGAGGAAGTGACTATCATAGATATAATACTAGAAACGCAGATGAAATAAGAACACCACATTTCTTGACTTGTGCTTCACAGAATTCATTATTTTTTAAAGGAATAAATGTTTTCAATTCGATGCCTAGACACATTAAACGTTCAACAACATTAGCAGAATTTAAGAGACATTGCATTTCACACGTTAAAACTGTCTTTTGAACGGTTATCCAGTGATTTTTTTTTTATGAATTGACAAATTATGTATCTTGACGAAGTTATTTTTAACGGATTATTTTGTATGGATAGC